CTTTTTAAAATTTTTTTTTTTTTCAGCATTTATTTATTTTGGACAGAGAGAAGACAAACATGAGCAGGCTGAGGGGCAGAGAGAGAAGGAAGAACACAGAGTCAAAAAACAGGCTCCAGGCTCCCCATCAGCCCAGGAAGCCCGGCTTGTAGCAAACTGAACTCACATAGGACATGAATCGTGAAACCTGGATGAAGTGGGGCGGCTTAACGACTCGCCACCCGGCAGCCCGGAGAAAAATGACTTTAAAAGAAAGTGAATTCCGGGGGCAGCACTTGGCTGGCTGAGTTGGTAGAGCATGACTCTTGATCTCAGTGCCACGGAAGTTCAAACTACATGCTGGTGTGGAGCCTACTTAAAAAAAAAAGCAATAAATGAAATACATTTTTTTTTAAGTAGATTCAAAAATTACTAAACCCTAAGTGTTTATTATCATTAAAAGTGATAGTTTAACTTCTTACCTTAATAATGAATCTGTTATTTGTAATTATTATTGGTCTTTCTAGAGAATGCACGCATCTTTTTATTTCTGCACTTGAGCCACCAGATGAAACACTGCCCATTTTGTATTAAATTGTTTCAGTAGGGCCTGGCTGGATATTTGTGATGAATCTGAATGAAGTACAGATTCATGTGAGGGGTATGGATCTATTACTGGATGTTTTATGGAGGCCAGCACAAGCACTCATCAACCTGGAAGCATTCTTGGCATCATCCTGAGGAGAAACTTTATAAGGGGAGCATATTGAGAGACCCGAGGATTCTCGGTCTCACCCACCTTCATCCGGGTAAATCATTGGCACAGCAATTCTCCATTCCCTTACCACCTATTCTGCGTTTTCATTTCCTTTGATTTAATTGCAGGCTGAATCCTCTGCCGACTTCGCGTGTTTCTGTGCTGCTGAGCTTTAGATAAGGCCAGTCTCCCAACCCAGTATCCAAGGGTTGAGTAGCTTAAGAAAAAACTTCATGTAAATTAAGGAAAATGGAATTTGCCAAGTTTATAGTAATACAAAAGGGAGCGGTATACTCCTATGTGATAAAGTCTACCAGCTAACTTATACCAAAAGAATTTTTTTTTTCACTGCCTTCCTTTACTCTGTTCACATTGGCAGTTCTCTCACACCCCTGATAGCTCTTCTCTCAATGCCCATCCTTGAGTATTTCTTGAAGTTTTGTACACCGAGGCTGACCTGGATCTTCACTTGGGCATGTTCTTGCCTACTTTACTTCACCAGGCAGTGTGAACAACAGGGCCTTCTTCGCTTTCGCCTGAACTTGGAGATCATTGGCGCTTATGCCCAGACAGAGATGAACCCATGGTATGGTGCAGTCAGTCTACCTTCTGGGTTGGGTGGGACTCTGCAAGCTTAGCAAACAGGGAGAGCCCACCACAGGTTGCTTGTGGCAGCCGCCACCTACCATGATCTTTCTGCAGGTCAGGCTTTTTTGGCGTTATACAGAATCTTAGCGTAGACATAAGCGCCCAGTGAAATTAAAGGTTATGTTAACTGAGAGATAGGCTGATTATTCTTTTTGGTTCCCTTCAGTATTAGGTCCAAGTTGTTTCTGAGTGGGTTTTTTTTCAAGGATTCACTGGTGAATTTTTGTGTAAGTTGTGTGCGTAATGAATGGAACCCATCTTTTTTCTTTATTACTCTCCATTACCTTTACTGCTGTGGCCTTAATGAACTTTACACAAATTCAGAAGAAACAGTAATAGTACATGTGCTCTTTTGGCTCCTTCAGAGGAAATAGTACATTTTATATAACCATAATGTGAGCATTTATAGAGCTTGCACGCTTGTGATTCCATTAAGTTCTGAAGTTGAAGCTTGTGATTATTTCAAAAAACAAGATAAGCCGCACTTCTAGGCGTTAGTCTGGGAGATGGTGGCTGTCCTGTTATCTGGTCTGAATTGGTATCTGTGGTACTTTTGCTATTCATTTCCTTCTGTCTTCTCCTATAGAGGTTTCAAAGACAACTGGTCTGATGTATGTTCCCTTACGCCACTGCTCCTTCTGTGTGTACAACTAATCTTGCGTTTACAATAAATTTGGCTCTTGAACTGGTCATATTTCCTGAAAATTAGATACTGTTTTGGTTTCATTGTTTGCAATTGATTTGTCACTATCTGTTCTGTTACTGTATTATAGCACCATATAAAGAGAAAACTTCTTTGGTTAAAAAAAAACAAGCAGCTTCTGTGGTGAAATGAGTCTTGTGTCAGTTTCTGGATTCCTTGGGGAAGGTTGTGGATGCTCATAAAATGGCGTTCTGTAACTCACTTGGAAGTTTCTAAGTGTTCAAAGTGTAAGTGTTTAGTGAGGTCTGTCATTATCAAAACCAGTCTGGTGAAAAGGTCCTCGGCATTTGCTTCCGGGGTAGTGTTGACAGAGAGTGATAGAACATTTTCCATAACTGTTTCAAAAATTTTGCTTTGTTATATTAGGATCTAACATGAACCTTTGTCCATCTCCAATAAACATCTGAAACTGAGGAACTCTTCCATGTCCACTTCAATAGACCAACCCAGGTGGAAGTTAGACCTGGTGTGGAAAGCTCACACCTTATTCTTTTGTTAAGAAATCCAAAAATGCAGCTCCGGCTCTTTTCCCCATATTAGTTTTTTTAGTCTCATTTTCTATTGAAGTAGGCTCCAGGCTCTGAGCTGTCAGCACAGAGCCCTGTGCGAGGCCTGAGCTCATGAGCTGTGAGATCATGACCTGAGGCTTAACCCACTGAGCCACCCAGGTGCCCCTCAAAACGGTTTCTGATTACAATAGTTTACCCCTGCCCTACTAAGTGTATTTTTGTAACCTTGGTATTTGTTGCTCCATTATACGGCACCCTGATGCAGACCCCTCCCAGGAGTCTGATGGGTGCTTCAGAGTGGCCCTGCCTTTACCAGCAGTTGCCCTGGGTTCTAGTAATGCATAGTAGTCTTTCAGCCCTAAAAGTGGCTGGTCCCAAGCCTCAGTTTTCAGCCCTGGTTCAAAGAGTTTTCTTCTGTTGCGTCCTAGGTGTACATTTATTTTTCTTCCTAGGTACCATCCTTTTCAAAACTGGAGACAGTGGCATTCCTGTTTGTGAGTGAAAGCACTCTCTCTCATCACATGAATGTGTTTATCTGAGGATTTCCACTCTTTTTTTAACTTCTTGTTTTAAAATGATGATCAATTCGTAGGAAGTTGCAGAAATAGCAGAGAGAGATCCCATGGACCTTTCACCCATTTTCCACCAGTGCTGACACCTTACGGGATTTCCATTTGCTGCTTCCTAGGATGGCTGCTCTGATCTGGGCAAGGTTTTCTGGTGTCCTCATCATTGTGCTCAGTCCTCATTGCACTTGGATAAGAACTGCCCCAATCAGAAGATGTGATTAGGTGGTGGGATTCTCGTCCTCACTCTGCCATTATCTTCTTGATCTGAAGGCACTTAACTCACCTCAATCTAATTTCTTTGTAAAATGAGCACATTGGTTCCACGTTCTTTGATTTTTATGTGATCGGATAGCCGAAAGCCCAGCCACCCGATTGGAAGACAGTTGATCGGCTCTTGCCTGGGCAGTGTGCCCCGGTTATTTCCCTCCTTACTTTCGGAACAAACTGAGAAATTTTAAAACTGAAATGTTGTGTCAGTTCATTTCTAATAGAATAATAAGAGCAGTATATAGTTGATGAAGTTAGAGCTGGAAGTTAAATAGAATGCCAGCAATGTGGAAAAAGAACAAAGGCATATCAATCTACTTCCTATTGGAAATAAATTCACACAAGTCTAAGGCACCTGCAGGTTTTAAATGGAAAAGAATGACTTTAAAATTTTTTTTTTTTCAGCGTTTATTTATTTTTAGGACAGAGAGAGACAGAGCATGAACGGGCGAGGGGCAGAGAGAGAGGGAGACCCAGAATCAGAAACAGGCTCCAGGCTCTGAGCCATCAGCCCAGAGCCCGACGCGGGGCTCGAACTCACGGACCGCGAGATCGTGACCTGGATGAAGTCGGACGCTTAACCGACTGCGCCACCCAGGCGCCCCGGAAAAGAATGACTTTAGAAAGTGGATTCCGGGGGCACTTGGCTGGCTGAGTTGGTAGAGCATGTGACTCTTGATCTCAGTGCCATGAGTTCAAGCCCCATGCTGGGTGTGGAGCCTACTTAAAAAAAAACAATAAATGAAATACATTTTTTTTAAGTGGATTCAAAATTACTAAACCTAAGATGTTTATTATCATTAGTGATAATTCACGTTTAACTGCCCTGTAATGCATGAATCTGTTATTTGTAATTATTATTATTATGGTCTTTCCTAGAAATTGCATGTCTTTTTTTATTTCTGCACTTAATTACCAGATGCAGAGCACTGCCCATTTTTGTATTAAATTGTTTCAGTAGGGCCTGGCTGGATATTTGTGATGAATCTGAATGAAATTACCAGATTCATGTGAGGGGTGTGGATCTGTGCTGGATGTTTTATGGGCCAGCACAAAGCACTCCAGCCTGGAAGCATTCTTGAAAATGCATCTAGGAGAAACTTTATCTGGGGGAGCATATTGTCGGCCCGAGAGACCGAAGTTCTCCGGTCTCACCTTCTCATCAGGGTAAATCATTGTACAACTTGAATTCTCCATTCCATACCACCTATTCACGTTTTTCATTTCCTTTGATTTAATTGCAAGGCTGGAATCCTCTGCCCGACTCGCGTGTTTCTGCGCTGCACAGGCTTTGGAATCGGAAGCCAGTCCTCAACCCAGATTAATTATCCAAGGGTTTAGTAGCTTAAGAAAAAACTTCTCGCCAAATTAAGGAAAATGGAATTTGCCAAGAGTTTATGAAAGTAATACAAAAGGGGGCAGTGCTCCTATCCATGATAAAGTCTACCCAGCTAACCCATACTTAAAAGAATTTTTTTTTCTCCTTCCCTTTACTCTGTTCACATTGCTGATTCTCTCACACCTGATGACTCTTCTCTCAAATGCCCATCCTTGGTATTTCTTCGAAGTTTTGTGCACCGAGGGCGGCCTGAGCCTCTGGATCTTCACTTGGGCATGTTCTTGCCTACTTTACTTCACCAGGCAACCGCGGAACAACAGGAGCGCTTCTTCATGCCCGCCTGGAACTTGGAGATCATTGGCACTTATGCCCAGACAGAGATGGGCCATGGTATGGTGCATTCAGTCTACCTTCTGGGTTGGGTGGGACTCTGCAAGCTTAGCAAACAGGGAGAGCCCACCACAGGTTAGCAATGGCATCGCCACCTACTGTGATCTTTCTGCGGAGTCCAGGCTTTTCGCGTATACAAGTCTTGGCGTAGACATCGCCTTGGTCAGTGGAAATTAAAGGTTATGTTAGCACAGAGATAGGCTGATTATTCTTTTTCATGGTTCCCCTTCAGTAGGTCAAGGATTTGTTTCCTGAGTGGGTTTTCAAGTTCACTGGCGTTACGTAGGATTTGTGTGCATGTGGAATCGGAACCCATCTTTTTTTCTTTATTACTCTCATTACCTTTGCTACTGATAGCTTAATGAACTTGCACAAATTCCAGAAGAAACACGGCTTAATAGTACATGTGCTCTTTGACTTCCTTCCGGGAAATGAGCGGCTTTATATAACCATAATGTGAGCATTTTATACTTTGACTTTTTTTGTGCCTTGATTCAGTAAAGTTCTGAAGTTGGCTTGGCCAAAGGTTATTTCAAAAATAAGATAAGCCGCACTTCTAGGCCGTTGGTCTGGGAGATGGTGGCTGTCCCTGTTATCTGGTCTGAATTGGTATCTGTGTTTGCTATTCATTTCCTTCTGTCTTCTCCTACTTAGAGGTTTCAGAACAACTGGTCTGATGTATGTTTGCCACACTTGCTCCTTCTGTGTGTACAACTTCATCTTGATTTTACAGCTAATTTGGCTCTTGGTGCTGAGTCATATTTCACAAGACCGAAAGTGGAGTACTGTTTGGTTCGGCTGTGCATTTGCAAACAGTTTGTCACTATCTGTTCTGTTACTGTATTACTTCTTTTTCTATAAAAACTTCTTTGGTTAAAAAAAAAACAAAAACCTTCTGTGGTGAAATGAGTCTTAGTATCTGGTTCCTGGATTCACACTTGGGAAGGTTGTGGATCACTCATAAAATGGCCGTTTCTGTAACTCCACTTGGAAGTTTCTAAATGTTTCAAAGTGTAAGTGTTTAATGAGGTCTGTCATTATCAAACCAGTCTGGTGAAAAGGTCCTCAGCATTTGCTTCAGGGTAGTGTTATTAGAGGGAGTGTCACTTAGAACATTTTTCCATAACTGTTTTCAAAGAATTTTGGCACATTTATATTAGGATCTAACGCATGAACCTTTGTCCATCTCCAATAAACGTCTGAAACTGGGGAACTCTTCCTTGTCACGCTAATGAACCAGCCAGGTGGAAGTTAAAGGCCTGGTATTGGAAAGCTCACACCTTATTCTTTGACCTTTAGAAATCCAAAAGTCACAGCTCCGGCTCTTTTTCCCCATAGTGATGATAGTTTTTTTTTAAGTCTCATTTTCTATTCTAGCCATCCCTCTGAAATAAGTCCTTAATTTACAAGAACTTTGGCTGGAGTCTCTTTCTGTCACCTGTTATCTTAGTCTTCGTAAATAGAGAAGTCCAGAATGTTGAACTGGTGTGGTAAACACAATACGTGAGTTGACGCTGGCATACTAAAGCTTAGAGGTGTTAAAGAGACGTTTAGCTTCCCTGTTATGTTCATATCCTGTGATCTTCTGAAAATATGATTCTAAAATGCCTTTACATTTTCTTCTGGTTGATTTAAATCATGTTACAAATCCACTGTCATAGAGGTGAATCAATTCAAGTGTAGAAACAGAACATGCTTGACATATTTTCAACCTAATAGGAGTTGTCTGGTTTAAGTATAGGAAATGATGGGGATGCCTGGCTGGCTCCGTCAGTGGAGCACGTGACTCTTGATCACGGGGTTATGAATTCAAGCCCCATGTTGAGATGTAGAGTTTGTTTGTTTGTTTGTTTGTTTGTTTTAATTTTTATGTTAAGTACGCTCCACACCCAGTGTGGGGCTTGAACTCATGACCCTGAGATCAGGAGTCACAGGCTTCACCAGCTGAGCCAGCCAGGCACCCCCATAGAGTTTTCTGTAAAAAAAAAAAAAAAAAAAAAAAAAAAGATAGGAAATTAACGTATCTTGGTTATCAGCTATTTGTAGCTCATATACAAATGTTTTGTTGCCTTTAGATTTTGTTGTTCTCTGAACTGTTTCTAGAGCTGAAAGGAGGAGGCAGGAGATTTAACCCTGTGTTTGTTTTTTTTTTTTGCCCATATTTTACCCGAAGTGAATGTAACTTATTTCCTTAGGAACTCATCTCCGAGGGTTGGAAACCACAGCCACTTACGACCCTGAAACTCAGGAGTTCATTCTCAACAGCCCTACCGTGACCTCCATCAAGTGGTGGCCGGGTGGACGTATGTGACGTTTTTAGCGTTTCTTGGATGTTTCAAAGAGTCGTTACAAGATTGTGTGTAGAATGTAGAGCTTGTCCAAGAATATCATTTTGAAGTCTGGAGAGAACTCTTCAGCCTTAAGCTCTTCTGAGCTGTTTCACAGTCTCTTACAGTGCATGTTCTAGATATGTCTATATTTACAACATAGAGAGTTCAGCCTCTTACTCTCTTTTCTTAATTTTTCTTCCCAACATTCCTTTTTTTTTTTTTTTAATTTTTTTTTTTAACGTTTATTTATTATCAAGAGACAGAGAGACAGAGCATGAGCAGGGAAGGGGGAGAGAGAGGGAGACACGGAATCCAAAGCAGGCTCCAGGCTCTGAGCTGTCAGCACAGAGCCCGACGCGGGGCTCGAACTCACGGACAGTGAGATCATGACCTGAGCCGAAGTCAGTTGCCCAACCAACTGAGCCGCCCAGGCGCCCCTCTTCCCAACATTCCTACCGTTAGCTCAGTTTCCTTGGTCATCATTTAAAGTAACTTAGTATTCCCTGCTTGGTTATAATTAATTTAAATGTAAAGAGCCCCATGTGGCCAGTGGCCACTGTTCTGGAAAGCAGTTCCGTAAGAGAGAAAAAGGAAATGAATAGTGGTCTTATGATTATCTTGAAAAAAAATTTTTTTATGTAAACAAATGAGAAAAAAGTAGAAAAGAAAGCAAAGTCTTTTTTTTTTTTTTTATTTTTTCAAACGTTTTTTCTTATGGAGTGAAGCAGAGACAGAGCATGAGCAGGGAGGGAGCAGAGGGAGGAGAACACAGAATGGAAACAGGCTCCAGGCTCCGACCAATCACCAGAAACGCCTGACTAGAGTTCGAACTCACGGACCGTGGATCGTGACCCTGGCTAAAGTGGGCGCTCAAACTTGAGCTTCGCCACCAAGCCCCAGCAAAGTCTTTTTAAAATGGAGGATTACTATCAAACCAAGAGGCTGTACACCTTAAACTTATAAATATGATAGGTTAATAATATCTCAATAAAACTTGTATAAAAGCTTTTACATATATGTAAAACAAAGGATTGCTTTACCAAAATTCAGTACATTTTCATAACTATCCGCTTAAGTGGATTTCTTTCTGAAAACTGGGTATGGTGCCGTCATAAGACGCCCAGAGAGTTCCCGGCTTATGGTGTTTAACATATGGCTTTTCCGCCTCATCTCTATCCTTTGAAAGTGTAAGAATGCTTGCGCTCACTTCTCTGTCTCATTCTCTTTGATGTTACAGTTGGAAAGACCTCAAATCATGCGATAGTTCTTGCCCAGCTCATCACAAAGGGCAAGTGCTATGGATTACATGCCTTCATCGTACCGATTCGTGAAATTGGGACCCATAAGCCTTTGCCAGGTTAGAACTGTTCATCCGATGTTGAGGTAAAGAGCTAAACCGATCACTCCCTTCTGCAGAAAGTAGAACACACAGCTGAAGAGGCCAGTGCCAGCCAGGAATCGCAGAGCGTAAACATCTGGTGACTTTCCTTTCTCCTGTGGTAGGTATTACTGTTGGCGATATTGGCCCCAAATTTGGCTATGATGAGATGGATAATGGCTACCTGAAGATGGACAATTATCGTATTCCCAGAGAAAACATGCTGATGAAGTATGCCCAGGTATATTTAGAGGAGCAGAGGTGTCAAACGTTGGGGTTTCAGCAGCTGTTGATAACCACGGGGTTAGAAGGGTCTGTTCTTTTAGAAGGGAATAATAGAGTTTTATTCCCAATGCTTCTTTTATTAATGACCGTGAAATCAAAAGCGGTTGGCGGGTATGAAGAGCATATTCTAGTTTGCTAAACCGGCGGGTCTCAGACTTCATTCAGCATGTGTCGGAATCACCTGGAGGGCTGTTTAAAGTAGATCGGGATGGGGACTGAGATTTTGTATTTCAAGCAAGTTCCCAGGAGATGCTGCCATTCTGGGGACCAAACTTGGAGAATCACAAGCCCCACCTGCCAGTTGGGTTTAACAGAAGGAAGCATCAGTCCCGTGTTCTTTGTCCAGGTGAAGCCTGATGGCACGTACGTGAAGCCCGTGAGTAACAAGCTGACCTACGGGACCATGGTGTTTGTCAGGTCCTTCCTCGTAGGAGAAGCCGCTCGGTCTCTATCCAAGGCTTGCACCATTGCCATCAGATACAGCGCTGTGAGGCACCAGTCTGAACTCAAGCCAGGGTAAGGGTGGCATCAGTGCCGAAGACCTACCTTTGACCCCATTCACATACCAAAATTTTCAAATGTGATACAGAGAATACTCACTGGCTACGCAAAATTCGCTAAGATGGCAGCGTGCCGGATCTTAAGTGGAAAGATGAGAGTGGTCACGTTATTTTTAGCCTTCTAAGAAAAACAGTAATATTACCTGAGCTCTGCAATTGAAATGTTTAGAACACTCAAGGCAATTTGAAAGTCCTTAATTGCTACTAACAACTATGAATTGGGTTTGGTGAAAGTGGCGTGAAACTTGATTCCCTCTTGTGTTCCCGGCCATAGTTCTTACTGCTGCCTTTCACTTGAACGTGACTCCCCGATAACCTTTTTTTTTTAATTAAAAAAAAATTTTTTTTAACATTTATTCATGTTTGAGAGACGGAGAGACAGAGTGCGAGCAGGGGAGGGCAGAGAGAGAGGGAGACACAGAATCCGAAGCAGCCTCCAGGCTCTGAGCCATCAGCACAGAGCCCGACACAGGGCTCGAAGTCATGAACCGTGAGATCATGACCTGAGCTGAAGTTGGACGTCCACTCAACCGACTGAGCCACCCAGGCACTGCCCCCCCCCGCCTCGATAACCTTTTTTATTTAACTCTTACAGAAGGAATAAAGAAATCAGTAAGAGCTGACCTGCTTAGACATCAGATACTTAATTCTGTTCATTGAGACTTCTCCAGAATTGTGGTTAAAATAGTTTATTCCGCTATCTAAGTGTTAGATGTTTTTATCATTGCCTTCCTTCTGCGAAGTTGATTCTGATTTTGTATGTTGCTGTGAGATACAGTTTCCTTAGTCATCCTGCAAAGACTTAGATATGAACTTCACAGCTAGAAAATTCTGTGACCTAGGCAGTTCAACAAGGCGGTTGAGAACAGGGTCTTCTGTAGCCAAACAGCTAGACTTAAATTGAGGATCTGCCACGTATTTTAGCTGTGTGACCTCAGGCAGGTTTTTCACCTCTTGTTTTCTCCTCTGTATAATGGAGAAAATAATAGCCACTGCAATATATCAAAGTGTTTAGACTAGAATCTGGCACCTGGTAAGTTCCATGTGAGTGTTTACTTCTTTTTCGTCTGTATCCTTTAGTGAACCAGAACCACAGATTTTGGATTTTCAGACCCAGCAGTATAAGCTCTTCCCACTCCTGGCTACTGCCTACGCCTTCCAGTTTGTCGGCGCGTACATGAAGGAGACCTACCATCGGATTAATGAGGACATTGGCCAAGGGGACCTGAGTGAACTGCCCGAGGTATGTGTTTATTCATTCGCTTGTGGGCACCCTCCCGTTTGAGATTTGCCTGTTGGATAATGTCCAGAGAGAACTAATTGTTGGGATTTCTGGTAAAGAATCCATATATTCTCAAAAGAATTTTTTTTTTTAATTGAAAGTGGATCACGTAGGAAGATACGTGGGTTTTGTTTTTAAGTTTCAGAAGTACTGTACTATGTTGGTCATTGGTTAATCAAAGGAACATAATTGGTGACTTTTTGCCAAGCAGAACAATTTGGAAGGGAGTGTGGGAACACTAATTCAGGCCACTGATATGATCGTGCTTCTGTTCGCACGCATGCCGTGTGATGTTGCAAGTGACTGGCACCTAGGTGAGGAAGAGTGCTCCTCGCTGCATCCCGGACCAGACTGCTGGCGTCACCCACGTTCTGACGGCCTGTGCTTTCCCCCTCCAGCTTCATGCCCTCGCCGCCGGGATGAAGGCTTTCACCTCCTGGACAACTAATGCTGCCATCGAAGCTTGTCGGATGGCTTGTGGCGGGCATGGCTATTCTCACTGCAGCGGCCTTCCAAACATTTATGTCAATTTTACCCCCACCTGCACCTTTGAGGGAGAGAACACTGTCATGATGCTGCAGACGGCTAGGTGAGAACCTGATTTGCGATTTCGCCGTTGTCGAGAATGCTTGCGTCATCTTCATCGGTTCCTGTTCCCGTGTTTGCTCTTCACGTTCTATTTGTTCCTGTAATCTGTGGTTCTGCCTTCCATCCTGACCCACTGTTTTTATCTCATGGTCAGACGAGTGAGTAGGAAACACCTGTCATCCAGCTTAGAGTCATTGCAAGAGTTTGCCTCTGTGTCATGAGAGTGTAGGTACTGAAGGCATGTGTACCGGTGATTTGTAGGTTCCTGATGAAAAGTTATGACCAGGTGCACTCAGGAAAGTTGATGTGTGGTATGGTGTCCTACTTGAATGACCTGCCCAGTCAGCGCATCCAGCCGCAGCAGGTCGCGGTCTGGCCGACTGTGGTGGACATCGACAGCCCCGACAGCCTAACGGAAGCCTATAAACTCCGCGCAGCCAGGTGAGCCCACCCTTAGGAGCTGGAATCGGCAGCTGGTGGGGGGCGCTCTGGGGGCTGGGGCCCGATGGAAGAGCAGGAAGCCTGAGTACTGCTCATCATTTCCTGCAAGCTCCAGTTTTCTTTCGTTTCTTAACAGATTAGTAGAAATTGCTGCAAAAAACCTTCAAAATGAAGTGATTCACAGAGAAAGCAAGGAGGTAGCATGGAATCTAACTTCCATTGACCTTGTTCGAGCAAGCGAGGTCTGTGGTCATGCTCCCTTCCCCCCTCCCTCCCTCCCTCTCCCCTTCCTGTCTCCCTCTCCATTCTTCACCCCCACCCAGTTCCACCCCGTTTTCTTAGTGCAGAAACCCTCATTGCTGTGCATTGAATCTTTTTCAAAGGTTCTCTCCTTCTGGTGTGTTTTTATCTAGGCACATTGCCACTATGTGGTAGTTAAGCTCTTTTCAGAAAAACTCCTCAAAATCCAAGATAAGTCCATCCACACTGTCTTGAAGAATTTATGTCTCTTGTACTGCCTGTATGGAGTCAGTCAAAAGGCAGGGGACTTTCTGCAGGTCAGTGTTTGCCGAATTTAAGTCCTTTTCTTTGCTAGAAAAATAGTCGCGGTCTGCTTTACAGTTGCGTATGTGCATGTATATGTGAATATCTGTCGGCATACGTGAATATATGTCTAAACGTTTGCCTGTTCCGTCTCTCTTAGGGAGGCATCATGACGGAGTCTCAAATTACCCAAGTAAATCAGCGCATTAAGGAGCTGCTGACTGTGATTCGCCCAGACGCTGTTGCTTTGGTTGATGCGTTTGACTTTCAGGATGTGACACTCGGCTCTGTGCTCGGCCGTTATGATGGGAATGTGTATGAAAACTTATTTGAGTGGGCCAAGAAGTCCCCACTGAACAAAGCAGAGGTACCAAAAACAATGTTTTTTCACCTTTTGAAACTCCTCATTTAAATATGAAGGCAGGAGAGGCGCCTGGGTGGCTCAGTCCGTTAAGCTTCCGGCTCTTGATCTCAGCTCAGGTCATGAGTTTGAGCCCCACATCGGGCTCTCTGCTGTCAGAATGGAGCCTGCCTGGGATTCTTTCCCTCTCTCTCTGCCCCTCCCCAGCTCACGCACTCTCTCTTTCTCAAAATAAATAAGCATTAAAAATAAATAAATAAAAAATATTAAGGCAGGAAAGACCTCAGAGTGACTCACCTGTGTGAAAGCTTTGGAAGCTCCTGTGGCCACTTAGACAGTCACTTTGTTTCAGTAACAGATCCAGAAAGGAACTGGGTCGTTCCCACAGTATGCAGGTTTTTCATTTCCGTGACTTTTTAATAACTAACTGAAAATTTCCAAACATATACAAAAAATAGAATACATGTACACCCCTATGGACCCTTGGTCACACTTCAGTGACACACTCACGGCCGATGTGTTTCACCTGAACCCCCCCGCCCCCCACCCTCTCCCCTTGGGATTATTTTGAAACAAATCCAAGATACCAGATAACTGTATCCATAGACATTTCAGTAGCTATCTCTAAAAGATATGTTTTTTGAAAACGTAACCACAGAACCATTCTCCCACCTACACAAATTAAGAATAATTTCATGAACTACCCAATCAATGTCCAAATCCCCTAATTGACTCCGTTTTTTTCTTCCCCTTTAGTTTTTCAGATCAGGGTCCAAATAAGGTCCAGATAATTTCTCAATTAAAAGTATGCTGTTTTACATCGCCAGCTGCTTGTCAGTGATTTTTTTCTCTCTCCCTTCCCTGCAGGTGCATGAATCTTACCACAAGTATCTGAAGCCCCTGCAGTCCAAGCTCTGAAGGGTCATGATGAGAAGGTTCAGCTGCTCCAGCAAGCAGCTGTACTCCGCTCCCCGTATACCCCTCACACAAATCTGCTTGGAATCTCTATCAAATTCAGAGAGCTGTAGAGCGAATGATAAATTGAGCCCTTTCCTCTTTTTATAAATGAAGAAAAAAAATGAACAAATTTCAGAGATTAAACGAAAAAAACAGATGTGTTTTAAGTGCAATTAACACTGCAAGAGACGTATCGAGCATCAGAAGAAGCTTTAAGAAATGCAGCATGCCTTCCATTTGTAGTGCTGCTGGTTCCAGTAGGCCATGACTTTTGATAACTAGTAGAATTTAACTACTGAGTAGTTAATTATTTTCACCTCTTACTTGCTAATCACTGGATATATAAGTGTTTTTAAGCAAAGGTATTTTTTAAGCGGGGTAGATAGAACCCTTCCCAGCTTTTCTGTTAAACGTTCCTGTCATGGGCCCTGGCTAAGAAGCAGGACTGAAGAAAAGGGATTCGGGGAAAGAAACTAATCAAGACATTTAGTGTGAGTGAGTTTGTGCCCGACACATTGACGCGACGTGCCCATTTGCCCTGCTTTGCCGACCTGGTATTTCCACCTAACTATTCACAGTAGCACCTTTCCAGCATGAGGACTTCTTCGACTTCAGCACAGGCCTAGAATAGGATCACTGTCCCGCATAATTAGGAGTTACTCTTCCTTCCGTTCGAGGGATCCCTAAATCGTCTGTGCAGTAGCATTGCAATTCACTTTGTCCCAAACTTCTTAGAAAAGGGCAAGAAGCAAAATCATCTCTGCATCTGACTTCTAGCAGCTGATGGCCCCTCTGGCCGTGTGGTGTTTCCTCTCCCACCCCTTTCTCTGTCCCGAAAAAGATGCTAAGGAAGGAAAAGAAGGGGTCACAGTTCCTTCATAGTAGAAGGAGTATGGGGAGAGCTCTCTCAGTTATGGTCACTGTGACTGTGGTGTCCATACTAACTGGATATTCTGGAACAATCTAGATTTTTCAATAGTCTATTACAGTGCTTGGAGGTTACAGTGTTTGGCATTATGAAATAGAAGCATCACTCAGGCCACCTCTTCCACCCAGGGCGAGCACAGAAAACCCCTTTGACAAACCATGGCTTCTGATTTTGGATGTAAATCGTCGAATCAAAATAATCATCGAAACTATGGCTAATGGATAAATGCCAGTTTCACAGAATCTCTCTCTTACTGTACATTGGCTTTATTTTCGGTCTGTTCCTAGGAGATTGATCTGAATTGCAACATAGTCCTTTGAGCCAAAATCTAATTTACACAATCACTCTGCATTTAAAAGTTAAACATGGACCTCCTAATGAAGTTTTTTCTTAAAATCAATGTAAAGCAACACATTAGCTGATTTTTTGTTTTGTTGTGTTTGTTTTTTCTTTTACCTGTTAACTGTATCTGTAACTTCTGCCTCATGAATCCAGTTGTTCCGTAATCAGTCTTGAGAATGTAGGATAATTCAGGGAAATGTCTCCCTACCTTGGGACCCAACATAAAAACTATCCCAGTGGAACCAGCTATATGAGATTTTCAGGTCCCACAGAAATGCTGTTGACACAAGCCTTAATCCTTCCATCAGGAAAGCTGCTTGGGAATTGTAAGACTGAAGTAAGCAGTCTGTCAATTTCATCGGAATAGATCTTGACAGTAGTTCAGGTTCTGGGAAATAAAATAGATTTAAATTGCTTAGTATCAGCCTGTTACGTGTACAATTGCCCCAGACTTAGTGGTTAATTTAAGTACCTTGTTCACAGATGATCATCTGTAGTTGGCACCTGATCCAGCTGCATTGATCTGGGATCTATCTTAGCAGGTCTGAGCAAACTGTAGACACAACAGCCGACTTCAGTCCTGCACGTTGAGTTTACTTAAACGCAAAATCTGATATTTGATACTGTTTTTACTGACGCTGGGATTTTTGTCTTGAACTTTATTCACTGCAATCTAAATATAGTAAAACCTCTCTAATTTGTACGGTCACGAGGGAAAGAGAATGCCACGTAATTAAACATAAGCTGAAATTATGAAATTTTAAGGTACGGTTTTATGAGGTTATTAGGTTCAGTAGCAAAACAAAACGGGAAGGAGTGAGTCCTGCCTGGGCAGATCGCTCTAAATCCTGTCACTGGTGTGGTTCTGCAGCTGCTGTGCGGGATCCCGCTGGTGCACGAGTTCATGCTTACAGGCCGCTCTCGAAGCAGCATAGCCAGTTTGTTCTCCCTAAGAAGCCAGGCTTTGCTACAGATAGGTTTCGTTTTGTTTGGTTCTTCGGTGAGCCGTTTTCACAAAAATTACAAAGATACATCCTCTTCTCCAAACTGATGGATAAATGCTGAGAGGCTGGAAGATTTTTCTGTTAGATACTGATGGAAGCCTTTTTGAAAAAGTACTATGAACAGAACTCAAAATTGGGAAATTGAGGTTTAATAGGATTTTGCGATTTGTAACGAATGAAGGTTGATTCTTCCTGAAGGGTTTGGAGCTCTACTAGATACATATATACCGAGGAGTATTTCAGCCTTTGGACATTAGTGATCTCAGAGCACAGTTGGTTCCAAAGCCTTTAGGGCCTTTCATGTTCTGGTCTTCAGAACAAAGCAGTGCTAAGTATCAGCTTTTCTTCAGAACATTGGCTTAATTGCAACATTAGCTATGTTCACATGCTCTCGGGGAACTCCCCGCCTGTAATTTCAGATCGCATATACCTGGAGGCATTTTATAGTTCCTAAAGTTAACATGCTAGATCTTGTTTTTTGGATTTTCTTCAGTGCGGGGCTTTGGCTGGAGAAATAGAACTGCTCAAATTCATCGGGAACGGAAATTCTTTAGATGACTGCAGCTTACAGTCCCCGTGAGCTGGAAAGAAGAGATTAGATACAGTCTGCACACATGCTAATCTTTATAAATGTGGTAGGTGTGCCCGGGTCACTGGTTGCCTCCAAGCAGTGCCAGGAAATAGGTTCTTCTACGTGAGACCAACAAAAAGTCTTTTGTTGATTCTTACTCAGGATAAAGGTTTTGATCATTTTCATGAAAATAATACAGAGGTCACTTCAACTAACTATTACTCCATTCTTGGAGGATTTGACCAAGTCACACTGTACATTGCTAAAATGACTTAATATTTTAAAATACCACTGGACTTTTGCTTTTAGCTGTACACTAAAATTTTCACTACCTGTTCCTGCGCTCCGTGATTGTAAACATAGAAACATGAGGAACCTTTAGAGTAATCAGGTGCTAGCTGTTGCAAACCTTCAAATTCCTGGATCTCCAGGGGTTTTTGTTTCATTCTTACTTTGCTTTACAATTAATTGGGCCATTGATTATCTTAGGAAGATCATGAAAAACCGGGGAGTGATTTGAAGAATCCTGAACCAAAATAAGCTGTTGTGCCACAATACTGTCAACTGTTTCATAGACTAGGTAGCAAATACATGACCTTCCACATAATGTTCAGACTATTTGTAAACAATTTAATTTCCAGTCGCTGTGGATTCAAGGAAATTACTTGTGTTCTTCAGAGCGTATAATTACCTGCTACCTATTTCCCTTTTACTGTTAGGGTTTGTGTTTGGTTCCTACCTGACAAGATGCAGTTAGTTAGCATGTATTGTTACCCATCCCTGGCGGAGCCAGTCGGTAGAGGTGGTAGCACCAAGGAGGTGCACGGGTCCAGAACTTGGGAACCACGATCAGACAACCGTGCCCTGCCAGCCCTGTTTGGCTTGGGCTGCGGGTAAGCCAAACCGTAAACCGCTTTTTCCTTTGTAAAGTTTGACAAGACCCTTAATAAAACCTGTAATTAACACAAAATGCGTTACGTGCCCTTTTTGGGTGGCCGTGTTTGGGTTCTATTCTGGCTCCGCACCCTTGATTTTCACAACTGAACCGGGAGGTCATAGACACTTCCCTAAGTTTCGGGGTGTGGGATCCGTAGATAATTGTTCATGGTTTCACACGTCAATTTTCCAGTCTTAGCACATTTCTCACGCCCTTCACCCGGTCACGAGTCAGCCTTCGGATGAGTGCTGAAGGATAAGTGCTCGGTCTTGGAACCCAGGTCCCGGCAGTCCTGGAATGAGGACCAGAGGAAGAATCCGACCGGCCTCGGAGCGGGTGCCCTCCATTCTATTAACAGGACCACAAGTGGCGTGGAGGCAGCTCCTAGCAACGCGCAGGGCCGCAAACAGGCCTGGCCTCGACTAACGGCCGCGACGAGCACTCTGGGAAATGTAGTTTATCTTGGCGTCCCCTGCTCCTCTGGCTCCGGACCGAGGACTACAACTCCCAGGATGCCTCGAGGCTCACTTTTCTTCCGAGGGCCGCGCAACTGAGAGATTGGCGTTCGCGGGGCTCCCGACGAGAGACCAGGGCGAGCTGGGCTCGAGTGGGGTCCTGACCAGCGGCTATGGCTGGGACAGGCCCCAGCGGCTGCGCCTCTGCGGGGAACGGCGCGTAACCCGGGGGATTTCAGGGGCTGGGAGGAGAGTAGGTGGCGCTCGGGTTGAGCTGGGGTGGGCGCGTGGAGGGGGTGAAGCAGGGAGGGGCGCGGAGTCTCCCGACCGTGGAGCGACTCCCGGCGGGCCCTTGCTAAGGGGCGGGCTCGGGATTTTAAAATGCCAGACACGGACGGAGTTGGCTGAGCGGAGGCGATCACGCGATGGTACTCTGTGGCCCTTTGGCCTTTGCAAACTTCTCAGAGATTCCGCGGTCTGGGAGGCTGGGACAGGATCCCTAGGAGATGGAAGAAACTCCTGGATGTGATCTATGAGACAAAACGTGCTTGGACTTGTAGGTCGTGAAAACTGCCATCACAAAGAAAGAGCAACACAAACATTCAGAGTGGCCCCCGTACCTAATCCTAGATGAACTTTGCATTCTATTAACAGGACCGGCAACACCAGAGATGACCCCCTCCGACTCCTTTCTTCCAAGGCATGGGAAGGTCTGTCTTGGTAATTAATGGTCAGGATGGGGAAGGAGAGAGTGACAGCCTGAGTAATACACTTCTCTATTAATGGGCTAAGTCGGATTTACAGTTAGCCTGAAGGGGAAAATTTCTGCCATTGGTGAAAATAGTGTTAAGGAGTAAGCAGCCTCACATCCACTCTTTGTGCTGAATGCTGCCGAGAAAGTAGTCATGGGTGTTGGCGGGGAATGCCTATTGGCCACAGTGAGTGGCACCCACCTTCCTCCTGAGATCAGGGTACCTGTCATCTCCTGCATCCTCCTTCAGGGTGAGACATGAGGACCACCCCACCTTATGTGAGTAATCTCAGCTCGTTAAGTCATCCAGAGCACTTTGCTTCTCATCTAAGTTGCTCTCCCGGTAAAGAATTTTTAATTTATCGAGCTAGGTTTTGACCTCTCAAATGAGTAGAGAGACAGAAGCCTTGATGGGCCTTGGGCCCAAGCCCTGTTAAAACTACATTGTTTTTAAGCAACCACTTGAATTTTCTTCATTAGGGAGGATGAGCCTGATGTGGGCAGAATTCAAATGAGCTGGACAGCACTGTGAACAAGCTACAAGCAGCTCCCAGAGTCTTGAGATGGTAGGCAGAATGCAGACGCAACCCTACCTTCACCCCCAAGGTCTTGACTGCATGGGGGACTTTCGGGGCTGGCTGACAAGGACCAGGATATGGTCCCAAGAGAAGAATGATGGGAAGTAGAATTGATATCTGATTTACACAATGAGCAAGACTTCTGAGCCTCTGCATGGTCAGCTGGAAGCATTTTTAAGTGTCTCTTGCTGGTGTTGAGAAGTCAGGGACACAGAATAAGGGACACCCTTCCCAGTTATGTTACATCCTGCCCGGGAGGGTTTGCACGTGGCACCTGGAAATCAGGGAAGAGGGAGACTTCTGCCCACCAGATGGCACCCACAGGGGCATCCGTTGCTGGTTAGTGGGGGCTGTTTCCATGCTCCGAATGAGTCTATTGTCTGAAACTCTAGGAAAGTATAAAGAGCTTCTGTCTCTAAATGCGATTGTCTCCTTTTCCTCTGGTGACTTGGCAAAAGCAATTTATTCTGTATTCTCAGTTTCAGCCATGTTCACTGTTTGATTTAGGGTTTTTTTTTCCCC